TTTTCTGCTGTGATGACTCATGGTGTTCTCTCTTGTCTTTAGATACCAGCCTGTTGATATCATTCAACCAACCAATCATGTATTGCCAGCCTCATTCGGGGATTCTGATTGGTACTTTGTCACAGGCATCTCTCTTACCTCCACCAATGAGTCCTCACGTAGAAAACCACCACAGCATGACCTGCAGAAACAGGGAATGCCAGGTGAATATTGACTCTTTCTCCTCCGTCTTTGTGGTACTCACAGGCCCACGGGCCTCTGTGTCTTTTTTTTTTCTCTCTCTCTCTCCTCTAGATCACGAACTGCTCAGGCAAGAGCTGAACAACCGGTTTTTGGTTCAGAGTTCGGACCGGGCCGCTGCCTCACTTGGCCCGGTGCCGCTGCTGAGAGCGGAGTTTCACCAGCACCAACACACGCATCAGCACCAACACACCCACCAGCACACATTCACTCCTTTTCCATCCAGCTTGCCCCAGACGCCGCTCATGCCGCCCTCTGCACCTCCCATGGTGCGTACCCCAGCCCAAAATGTGAGGATAAGTAGAGCATCTCTGGTCAAAAAGCCTAACCCGCTCTTGTCAAACACAGCCCAGTCCTCTTCATTTCAGCCAGGCGTGCTGTCCCTGCCCTTCCAACCTGGAGGCCTGGAGAGACAGGCCCAGCACTCCCGAAGGGACCCCCTGTCCATCAGAGCCTCCACACCAAGTCCCTCACGCCGCTCCCCGTGAGCAGATACCGCACCCGTGAGACAAGTCCGGAGTCCCCTTAGTTCCCCTTTTCATGTGTCCTGCTGTGTATTTCCATTCCCCTATTCCCAGAGCCAGGTGCCATGACACACCGAAACACACCGGCGGGGACGCCACAAGATTGGTGGCCTCCAGAACCAAACACAGACCCTACAGCTGGTTGTTGTGGGACAGACCACGCTTGCTTATCCAGAGCTCTCACCATAGTGCAGCGTCTCGTCTGATACAAGTTTTGTCCCTCTTCCTCCTAATTCCCTAGTCTGTATTGATTTTGGCGTTTATTATTTTATCATCTCAACAAGCACTAATTTGTGTGTGGCTGGTTGTTCTTGTGGGAGAGATCCTCCTGGCCATGTAATAAGCGTTAGCATTTTGCCGTTGAATTTGCTTGTAACACAATGGGACTTCGCTGCAGCTGTTACAAAATTGTTGGAGATCTGCTACAAATGGATTTTGTCAGTACTTTAAAAAGCACTCTCTCCCTGTTTCTGGCAATTGCTGAGGGAGATTGAAAGAACAAGATTCAGCCTTTTACCCCCTCTCAGTTTCACACTGTGTCTGAAATGTAGAAACAACCCTCTTCTGCTAAGGCCAGCAAAAGCCAGGAGTAACAGCTAAAGCAGCATTTGAGAAGAACCAAGAACTCAAGGAGCATAATGTTTCTCACTTTTTTTCCTACTGCTGACTGCCCAGTGACATTCTTGGGTTGTAATCTGCTTAGCAGCGAGACAATTAAAAGTAATATCATCCACTCAAAATCCAGCCCCAGGTGTTTGCTCCATATACTCCTGTGTAAACACCTCCCCCTTCTTTTCTTGGTCTGTGTACAAGAATCTTGAAACTTTTCTCAGAAACCCTCTGTGTTATTTAAGAATTCCGATATCCGATCCGATGAGCAGTGCCCCCCTCCTGCCCATGCCCACTGATGTCGGCCTTCATGGCAAAAACAGCTTGCAAGGCTCTTTTGTTATATTTCACTTGCATCTTCTTATATTCCACTAGATCAGGGCTGCTAATCCCCGCACGAGAGAAGAGTGTTGAAATTTACAGCTGCATGTGTTTGGTAATTTATGTTATTTACACTGGAGGGGACATGGCTCCAGTAATAACTGTAATTAATGAAATTACAAATCTACTCTCCTGCACGTAGAGGAGTGTGAAACAGCAGCTGACTTGCCAAATAAGCAGCTTTTCGTGGGGTCCTACAGCTCCCTTCCCTGCATTCTTCCCCGCTCCCTCCTCCCCAGTGGAATGTACATGCTGTTCAAAAATGCAATGTATATATGCGTTGGTTTTGCTTCCAAGGTGGTACAGGACAGATAATGATAAAAATAATCGTGGGGCACAGACTGCACATGTAGGGGTGTTAAAACCCCATACTGGAATGGAAAAGGTTGACATTTGCCATTTCTCTGGTGCACTCTCCGTTTTGCAAGGGAGGGGGTCTATAGAGAGGTTTGTGCATCTAAGGCAATTAAGCCCTTCTCCAAGCAATTTTGGCGCATACAGGAACCCAGAAAACAGGGAATGGGTATTGATTGCCCCACTGTAGATGTTGGGGTCTCATGGAGAACATTCCCTGCCTTCTGGTGTGTGATCTAGTTCAGCTTTCCAGGCACAGATCCCCGATCTAGACCTGGAGCTGAACTTCCCTGGGGTTTGCTGCGCTGCTCTGTTAAACGTTGTACGGACGGGTCCCGATTATTTGTCTGTGTTGAAATCCTGATGTGTGCTGCTACTGCCGAAACCAAACTCACCTGTTTCCTTTTTTTTTTTCTCTTTTCTTTCCAGTTTGACAAGTACGCTCCCAAACTAGACAACCCTTACTTTCGACATTCCAACGTGAGTGCTTACCTTTCTAGGTGGTGTCTTTGTTAATGGTTCTGCTTGCACTTCTTTTGCTTGTTTTCGATTGATCAGTAGTGTTTTGATTCATTCATTCCTAAAGCTCTTTTTCTGCCCTGATAATTTTTTTAAGGTACAAAATTTTCTTTGGGCTTTTTTTGTTGTTTGTTTTTTTTTTTTAATCTTTGTCTACTGCGTTTTTGCTGCTGCGGCTCTATATCGCTGTGCCTGGGATGGCAGGGAATGCGCAGAAATTGCTCAATCAGTGGTCGTTGCAGTATCTTTGCAGCTGGTGCTTCTCACAGTGCAGCATCCCGGAGTGCATGGCTCTTTCACAAGATTTTGCTCAGGTCACAGGAGTAAGTCAGACTGGTGGTTTCTTCCTGGTGCTCCCCACTGCTCCAAAGCACAAAAAACTACATCTTTTGGGACTTAAAAAACTGCTGTATGTGCTCAGGAGAGGCCTAAGCAAAATTCAACCCAACCAACACAACTACACGGTGGTGTGGGTGTTGCCTGTGGTTAGTGTGCAATGCAGCATCCTGTGGTTCTTTTTTTGCTTTGAAAATTAAAGCAGATCGTATTTCAGAACAGGATCGATTTGTTTGTTACTGCAGAGAAATGCATAGTTAACAAAGAGGGAACATAAACCCCAAATTATTCCGATTCCTCTAAAAATGGTGAATGTTCTGTGCTTCCTGCAATAGTCCACAAATTTTAAAAGCACACTTGTTCAGCACTATCTAGAAAATTCGTCATATGAGTGCGTTTTCCAAGTTTTGGCTTTGCTCTTTAAAATTTTGAAAGCAAATTTAGTGTGTATTTTCACTGTGGCACTCGTTCAACACAGTACTATTTTTGTATGTGCCAGGCTTGGCACCTGCCTCCATTATTGTTCAAGTTGTCCTGTGACATAAGCATCTCTTTTTCTTTTGTAGTTCTTTCCAACCTATCCTCCAGCAATGCCTGGAATGCCACCCATGCTTCCACATTCAGGTCCCTTTGGGTCACTTCAGGGAGCATTTCAACCGAAGGTACAAAACTTCTTCTTATGAAGGCTTTGTTCTTTTGCTGGGAGAGAAACTGTGTTCAGAGGAGCGTCTCTGGTGATTTTGCAGCACGTGATTTAACTAACAGAAGTGCAGCACAGGGCTGGAAGCGATCACCCCGCAGATCTGTGAGCATCCTCTGCACAAAGCGGCCAAAACTTGAGCAGAAATTTTCTCTTGGTGCTACAAATCATTCCTTAGAAAAGGATGTAGTGATTCGCTTGGGAGGTCAACTGAAACTGGAGAAGAAGCATATAGTCAAATGCATTATTTGATTGAAATATTTACAGCTAATAATAGACCCATGAGCCTCAAATCATTTTATAAATTTAACAGTCTGAGATTGCAAAAGATAAACTGTGTTTATTTCTAGGAAAAAAAAAAAAAAAAAAAACGAGAAATTGCCTGTACAAGTGTGGGAACAATAGGGAGAGACTGCTATAAATGGGTAGAGCAGTTTGAAGGAGCTGAATTTTTATTCCCAGCTCCAGCAGTGTCTGACCTTGGGCAAGTCACTTAAATCTTCTGTTCCTCGGCTTCCTCATCTATAAAGTTATCTTGTGGTGGGTTTTTATAAGCGTAGATTAATGCCTGCAAGCTTTTTTGAGATAGCATGTTCGAAAGGTGCACTGCAGCCGTAACATATCATTACAACTAGCACTGATTGGCATTTGGAAGTGTTGCCATGATAACCACCATTTTTGACGAATTTGGTGGTGTGCACTAGTGGGTTTTTTTCCTCCCAGACTTGTTCTTTTTATTAACTCTTTTTAAATTACAAAAAGCAAAGTCTCTCAAATGGATTTTTTGTTCAGCAAGAGTTCTATATGTAGTGGCTACAGGCACAGAAGAGGAGCAGTTGCATCTAAGCAGAGGAAGCAAGAGGGTCAGAACATAGCTATCCCTTGATGGAGTTGGAGAGGGATGCCAGGGGATCCCTACAGAGCCCAAGCTGTCAGCGTGTTAATTTGACTTCCCAAGAAAAGGAGCTGCATAAATAAGCGGAGTTGGCTAAATTTTGCTAATGTGAAGAGAGGGTTCAGTTTTGCCATAAGGTTCCTGTTAATGAGGAGCTTTTGCTACACCGATCGCATTCGCTTCTGGTTTCTGTCTTCATTACAGAGCTTTATAGATACCATCTCCCTATAAAATACGATTAGACCAAAGAGAAGCAGTTACATGGCAAGAAAGAAAAAGTGAGCACAGACCCTGTGCATTTTCAAACAGTTCTTAGTGCTGTATTATAACTAGCTTTTAATTTATTTTAATGGCAGATACATAGAAATTTGCTAGCTTGAGTTTAAGCAGCGTGAAGTCACACTCTGGTTCCATGGTTAATCACCATGGTCACTTGATCTCCGGACAGTGCTGTATGTACATGCAATCGAATGTCTTGGGGAAAAGAAGAGGCATAGGTTGAAAAACAGTCCATCATTTTTCAATTTCCTAGAGAAGACAGAGCTGAACTGCTGGGCAGAGCCACTCTAGTCATGATTACTGCATCGTTTTTCCGTGCTCTCTCCCTCCCAAGCTGTTTGACTAAAGCCTTCATAATTGCTGCAGACCTGATGATTTGGTTTTGGCACGCTGAATCCTGCACATCTTGCTTTCCAAAGCAGAGGTCTTGGTTTTGTTTTTCCCCTTCCCGCGTCAGTTGCCTACAGCTGTGCGTGTAAATCCACTGCACATAAATCCAGGCTGACGGTAAACTTCTCAGTGAGTTTCCCGAAGGCCGTTTCTCACAAGCTAAGAACTTGAAAAGGTCAGAAGTACTCAGTTTACTTTGCTGGAGGAAGCATTCGCATCTTTCTCCGGGGGACAAAGGGACAGGATGACACTGTGCTATTAACATGTTGTGATCTTAAAGCTCTTGCCTGTATGAGAGCTGTAACTTATTTGCCACCTTGTATATACCTCAGCTGTCAGACAGGCCCTGAGAGCACAGATCTGCCCGGGGAGTTCGTTGACTTACCTCCACACATGAGAATTCTCTTTTTAATGTCTGGAAGTTATGTAGTCTTAGACAAATTATAGACCTATCTTTCCTCCCACACCCATGGTTTTCACTCGTTCCTTGTGCAGTTTGACCATTTGAAATGTACTGTAATTTGACCTAAAATATGAGTGAAATAATCTCTTGGGGAATGAGGTGTAACCCCTCTGCACTCAGCTGCACAGAGGCACCAGGTGCGGTTGCTGTGGGAGTGGGAGATGGATGACGGCCAGAGTGAGAAGACGAACGAGTTCTTGGGGATCATCTAGGACAGGGCAACAGGTGGGATTGGGAGGAGGAGGAGGAACAGGGATTCGTTCAATGAAGTGTTCAATTCTTGCTGGAAAATGATGGCATAAACAATGCAAAGCTATAAAAGACCCACAACCACCTTCTGAGGTTTCTCATTTTGCCTCGTCGAAGCCAACAGATGGGCTGTTGCCGTTTTAGCTGCTGTGTTACCTGCCCCCAGTCAGAGAGGGGACCCTGGTCCAGTAGGTGCGACGTGCAATAAGATGCTCCAGTTGTTCTGTTCCGGACTGCGATACTGGTTGCTGCCTGAGACGGGGAGGCAGTCAGTGCACCTCTCTCATTCCCTCTCCTGCTGCCTGCCTGTTTTGTCTGAAGAATAAGCTTTGGGGGCAGGGACTGTCTCTTCCCATGCGCTTGCGTGCTGCCTAGCACAAGGGGGATGTGATTTCAGTGGGGCTTAGGGGTGCTGCTGTAATACTGGTACTGCTGCTAAATAATAATAGATGACATGGTGGTTAAATGCTGTTGGCTGTCAGTAAGAGATAACATTTAGCACTAATGTAGCAATGTGCGTGTTCAAAGCACAGTATAAATGTGGACTAATTAATGCTGTTAACATCAGATAGAGATGTTAAATGTACCACTGGTATGATACAGTATTACTCACGCTCTGTTCTTGCCTTTCAGACTTCAAATCCTATTGATGTAGCAGGTAGACCAGGCACAGTCCACCACACGCTGCTACAGAAGACTCCAGGGGTAGGCAACGATACGTAACCTTCTTTAGCTTATCTGGTTTTACAGTAAACATGGTAATTGCTCATTAAAAAAAGAGCAGTTTGGTGAACAAATTGGCCTTCTAGACTTGGAATGTGCAGTCAGGACAGAAGTTTCTTTTTCTGGTGAGACAACAGTAGCCTCCGCTGGTCATGAATACAAAGGGATGTATTGACTTCTTCAAACAAAGTCAGAGCGAAATGGGGCAGGAAACCCCTTCAAGGTCTTTCCCCTAAGCATTGCTTGGAGAGTAGTTTTATGCGCTCCATTTCAGAACGATTATAAGGTTTAGAAAAATACTGAACTGTTCAGTTGCTGGCATGAAGGTGCTTTGTTTATCATAAAATTCTGCTGAGTTTGGTGCAAGGAATGAAAGAGAAGTTTTAAGCCTTCTTTAAGCCTTTTAGATTTCCTGTGTCACAGGGGACTTCTCTGGAACATTGATTTCTAAATGCTTTTACTTGTTGAGAGGAAGGAAGTTTCCCACCTTTCTGTTTATTGGCTAGTTTTAGAAAGACTGATTGTTTTATTTCTGGGTTTTTTTTCATAGGTGTCAGATCCTTACAGGCCTCCAGTAAGAGTAAGTAAGGTTTGTGGGGGATTTTATATACATACTCGCTTCAAACATTGTGCACGTTTTTGAAATTTAACACATCCAGTAGAAAATTTCATTTAAAGCAAAATGCTGTAGTTAGCTTTTAGCTGCTTCTGACTAATAACATTTAGCTTGAATCTCAACCTTATTTTGCGGCCATTTATGTACATTAACAGCTCACAGTATGAAATAAGGGTCACAGAAATAAATGACTGTGAACGTGGACCAACATGAACCAGTAGTCAGATTCACAGTGGACTAGGTCAGTGTGTTTTATTTGGGTTTCTGATGTTCCACAAAAACACTCTACAGTGAGTAGTGCAGCTCAGCTGAAAAACAGTAACTCGTTCAGCTGTGGCACAGCTCATCTCTGGTAATTGTTTGTCCGTACCCTTTTCCTCCCCAAATGCAAGTAGCCGCAGTAACCACGCATGACTTAGCCTGCAGGGCAGCAGGGATGAATGAACAGGGCTCTTTTCAAAAACAGAACTGTTAACTATTAGTTGCTTTCTCTTAAGCATGGCTTATGGTTATTTGCTGCCATTTATTTTGATTTAGAAGGGGAGACTGCAAGTAAGAAAGAACAGTGCAGGGGTCTCGGGTCTCCAGGAGATGAGACAGATATCCCACATTCTTCCTGTTTGTTTCTTCTTTATTTAAACAATGTTGATCACCTATTGTGCTGTCTTAGTCATCAGCCTTTCTCATTTCTTAGCTGCCTGTTTGACAGTAAGGGAAATGAAACATTCTATCTGATGTAGATTGCTAACGTATAAATTAATCTAAATTCTTGTACTTTCCATTGCAGAAACCCGGGAAGTGGTGTGCGGTTCACGTACAGATCGCCTGGCAGATCTACCATCACCAGCAGAAGATAAAGGTAATTCTGACAGTTTCTGGAACAAAGCCAAGTCCTTTGGCTTACAGATTATATTTTAGTGAGTAATGAGCAGGAAGCAGTTACTGTTGGTGATTCTCAAGCTTGCATGTATTGATTAACTAGCACTTTCAATCCTTTAACATTTGTTGTAGCAACTGTAAAGTTTATCTGAGGGCAAAGGAGTTGGGTTGAAGGGTAGCAAAATGAGCAGGAGATACTAAGCGCACATCCAGAAAAAGAAGAAAGGGAGAGTGAGGGCAATTTTGTCCCAAATCTATCTTCTTTTCAAAGCATACGTGTTTAATGTCATTTCTCTTCTGTACTGGTACCTCCTGTGGAATATGGAGTATTAGCCCATTTGTAATGAAATGACTGATAACGGTGAAGAATAGATTACAAACCATAGAGCAGACGAGTGGATCGATCATGGTGGTGTTAGAGGTTGTTGGGCTTTCTGCACTGCCGTGATGATGGGCAGAGGAAGGTTGTTTAAAGACATAGATACGCTGGGGTGCTGTTCCAGGCTCTGAGCTCCCTGTGGCAGGCAGAAGAGCTCATAACAGGACTTCCATAGCATTTTATTTTTTTGTAGCTCCTGCTGTCTTTTTTTTTTGTCCCATTAGTGAAGACTATCCAGTGCTTAAGTAGGTGCAGTGTAGTTAGTGCCTCTACAAGTGGCGTGTGTCTGTTTTTCTTTATAAGCAGATATATCATCTTTAAGCTATTGGGAGACTTGCGTGAGTGAGGTGCAGTTCCAAGCCTGCTCACTTCTATAGGGGAAGGATAAAAATAGCCTCTGGGGGAGCCTCCTGGGGTGTTCTTCATCCTTCACCCCTTGTCTGCATACTGAGCTGTACTAGCTGCAGGAAGGGCATAGTCTAGGAACATCTCTCCAAACTGGAGAAGCAAAACAGACGAGTCCGTCGCCCAGCTCTCCAGACTTCTGTCGGCAGCTTTCTGCCTGCGGAGTATTCGTCAGGCTGAGAGCACCGGCTGCTCCCAGGGTGCAGCCGCTCCGTGTATCGCGTTGCCTGCCCCGCTGTGCGTGCTGAGGGGCTGAGAGCTCACTTCAGACCTTGCTGATGCGGACGAGGCAGGCAGCTGAGAGACTGTGGAGCGAAGTGGCCTCACAGATGCTGTCAGAGCGTGGCTGCGGTACGAAATGTCGCTCTGGCTAACTCTCCCTGGCAGGGCTAAGCAGGAGTGAGCCTGAACTCTCTCTCTTTTTCTCCTGTAAAAAAGCAAGTGTATAATGAGATTGTTTTTATATTGTTTGACAGCAAATGCAGCTGGATCCCCACAAGCTAGAGATAGGTGGCAAACTTGACCTGTTCAGCAGACCTCCCGCCCCTGGAGTGTTTCCAGGCTTCCATTATCCGCAGGATCTTGCCAGGCCTCTGTTCTCTACCACAGGTAAGGGAAGATCATAATTTGTTGTGAAAAAAAACACAGTCAGGGTATGTGCTGTGTGTCTCTGCAGCCACACAGGCCTCAAAAATGGAAGCAGGCGAGATGGTTGGCAGGGGCGTGGAGGCACTGGCGGGAAAAAAAAACTGACAGAGCCACCGGACTCTGCCATCGCCTCCAGTACAGTCCTGCATGTCCTCTGCGCATCACCGAGCTGCAGCAGCTGGCTCTTACATTCCTGTCTGTGCAGCCAGTTCTTAGGTGTCCTGATTAATAGGCTAAAGACTGATTTTAAAAAAGCAATTCTGAAAAACACTTGAAAATCTTGCCATCGCACAGGACTGGAAGTGGCCCCAGTTTCTTTGTTGCTTTTATATTTGCCGTGTTGTTTTTCTCAGCTCCTCCACTCACCAGCTTTCTGCTTGTTTTCTTAAAAACAAGTTTTAATTGTAAAAGACTTCAGTAATGGCATTGAAAATATCACAGAGGGTGTACTTGTGAAGTGTTTGGGTTTTAAATGTAGCATCCTCCTCTGGGTTATGAAGAGCAGCAATCTCTAAGACTTAAAATGACTTACTGAATTTAAAAAAAAAATATAATAAATCCATTTACATTAATCAATTCCTTTCCAATCTGTTGGAGAAGTAATTGCAATTAATGCAATTACCAAAGTGCAGTAAGCTTCACTGCCCTATTCTTAATGACTTTGATCACAGGAGACTGCAACTTTGACATGCTGGTTTTGGAGGTCACTGGTACTATTCCTGTTCATTTCCATCTACCAAAGGTTGTTTTTGTTCTCTTCTCATGGCTTGTCATTCCCCCTAGACTTTTTCAGATTTTCTTCCTGTGTTGAAGATGCCAAAGTCTGCCTTTATGTTATTAATTGGCAACTAATGTAATTTTTCTTCCACACTTTACTCTGGTTTTCTGACGCAGTATATGACGCTCATTCTAAATCAATGCAGATGTGGTCAACTGGGTTAAACTCTGTTGAAATAAAAGAGGTTAAAAATGTTATAAATTTTGTCTCAAACATAACAGAAAAGCAGCAGATGAGAATCAGACTGAAACTGCCACGAGAGCTGAGTTTCAAGGGCGGCTGTCAAATAGCCTTCAGGAACTGCACCAGCGGTTCATGCCCTATCTGTGGATGGAAATTCTTAACCATCAAATGCATGTTGTCTCCACATATAATCAGTGCTGATACTAGCTGTAAATTGTAGGATGCGACCCTGTATTTTGGTCTCTGTAAAGGTACTTCGATAGTCAAGATATTTATTGCATCTACGTGGATGCATAAGCACAGCTGATTTACAAGCCTCTGACTGTTTTCCTTTGGTGGCTGTTCCTTTATCATGTCTTCAGTCTGTCCTGTGTTGTCATCACAAGAATCTTGGTTTGTGTATGGTTTTGCTACTGAAGGCTGTACCGGGCAGCCAGGAAAAAAACACTTTGGTTGGTATCTTGAGCTTTTTTTCTTAAAGATGCAAGCGTGGCTTACTTCTTCGCTCATAAAAGCAAGAGGGGAAATAGTATGGAATAGATACATTAAAGAAGGCAAATTAATAGAAAACTTTCACTGGAGATAAACTACCTTACAGCAACTTGTCCTTGAGTATATTAATCACAAGAGCCATCACACAGTAAATCTAGGTAAAGAGTGCTATCGAAGTGAACAAACATTGCAGCAGTAATATATAGATGAATAAATCTTTTACTCTGCAATATCCAAGGCATTCTTTTCACCATATCGAACAAGCGTGCAGTTGATGTGAATCATTGGTTCTGCTGCATTGCCTAGTTACTGTGGGAGACATGAGTTATCTTAGGGCCACCTGTCTTCAGGACGGATGTTCAGCTGCCTGGCAGCCACTATATTTAATAACTGCCTGACAGCCTGCAATGCCACTCCTGGCTTTCTCCAAAGGATTTTTTATTATCAGCCCGTGTAGTTGAGTTTGTAAGCCGTCTCCTTTGAAGAAATCTCCCATCCATTATACACCTTCTGAAATCTTAAAGGATTAGAAAGATGACAGTCTCCATCCGTCTTGAAGCATTGGAGCAGTCAGAATGTTTATAGATAACTCCAGGTCTCATTGCCGTGGTCTCTCTTAAGTTTCCTCAACTCATTTTCTGGCTGCTTAGGTTTGTGGTGCCCTGGCTGGTGAGGGACACGCAGCGCTGTCTCCCTCTCCGGTTTTTATAGTCAGATCATGTTCTGGACACATGAGTGCGTTTTGCAACTGTCAGTTGTTGGGCCAAGGAAGACCAGGTCAGGGACTGACCAGCACCTCTGTAAAACGCTGGTTGGGATGCAGTTTCTCCTCTGCATATTAATTTCTTCCCTCAATTTCCCCCCGCTTTTGCTGTCACCTTCCATAGTGTTTTCAGCACTGATGATAGATGATGAAAACATGCACTCGATGTGGTTTGGAGATGAGGGGCAGGAACCTACCAGAGCAGGTTTATCATTTATATGGGCCACGGACGAGGCAGAAATCTTTGTGGTGAAGATGACAGGAGAGCTGGAGTGCCAGTTGGGAGGATCGTAGTCCTCTTTTCTGTAACAGAAAATTATCACTTGAGAAATCAGTGACTGGTAAGTGAGCTTCCGCTGAAGAGCCCGTGTACACGCCCGTTATGGCTGCTGCCGTTCACTGGAGTTGACTGTTACACTTCCCAGTATTAAGGGAATTTAACTTTTTACCAACAAAACGTATGAGACGAGCACTGAAAAGCTTTATGTCGGTGTTGGTCTGTTTTGCACATGACTTAACATGTCCTTGGGAAAGTGCTGCTTCTGTTACTGTGTGGAATTGCCAGGTCCTTACACAGTAAGGGAGTCAGTGCGTAGGTGTGGCAGGGCTTGCTTTCCGTAAGGGAGGCCGAAGTTGTGTGTGCATCCAGGCAGTAGCTGGAAGTTAGGAGAGCTGCTGATTCTGCTTTGTCTGCCGTTGTGGAAGTGCTGGCAGGGAGGAGGCACCGAGAGGACGTTCACAGTCTGGACAGTTGGAGAGGGCAGGTCTTGTCAGCCTAATACTGGGGCCAGTATCCCGGTGGCAGGTGGCACCAGTGCTTTTTGCGCTGTGATTGCAAGCCCGATCAGGTTCACACGCGTGTCCCTGTGAAAGAAGCAAATCTCTCGTTTTCTGCTCTGAGAGAAGAGCAGAATTTTCTGCGTGAGCCTGGTCCACCTTGAAATACGGGGCAGAGCAGCTTGTTTCAGCCCATTCTTGCCCCCTGCCTCAACCTAATGTAATCAGGCATGCTCAGCAGTGCTGTTCCTTTCCCACAAGGTAGCGTGGCACCATGGCAATGAGCAGTGTCTAGGAAAAATCAAAAAAATACCGCAGGGGGAGCCTGTGGATGCAGAGACGGATGTGAGAGCGTAGATGGAGCTCCCATGGGAGAAGCATGATCGATGTTCGCTGTGTGCCTGTCATTAACTGGTGTTTCGTACAGACTCTAATCAGTCACTTCCAAGAACCTTCTGTCTGGGCCCATAACCTGGGCTGACCCTGTTTAATGTAAACACAGAGTAATGACTGAAAATGCCAGACGAAGAAGTTCATTTCCTCATTGCTACAGGTGAGCAGCAACACTCAGTGCAAGGTCTCCTCCTGCCTCCTAGTGCCCGCAGACTCCTGTAAAGGGAATTTGGAGAAATCCCTCCTGTAGCTTGCTTGGCTGGTGTTTGGGGTCTTCCCCTGCCCTTAAATGTTTAAAAAAACAGGGAGATGTTTAATGACTTGTGCCTTTGCATCTGGTTCTTGAATGGCCAGGACTTCTGTGTACACAAGCGCTCACTTGCCACTGAACTAAAAAGGGACCTTGTTCTCACAGGTGCGACACATCCAGCCACCACCCCTTTTGGTCCTTCACCTCACCACAGCAGCTTCCTGCCTACTAACCACTTGGCAGGTAAGTGTAAGTAAACCCTGCCTTCACCTTTATACCTCTGACTCGTTCCTGGCTCTCCGGCGTGGTCCTGCCTCAAGGCACTGTAGCATTAGAGGAGGGAGCTCAGGAACCAGGAGCTCGCCAGCTTCTCACCCGTGCCGCCTTCCCAGCACATCCCCTCCGCTCTCCTCCAAAGGAGAGGGGCAGGATTAGCAGACCCTCTCCTGCGAGAGCAGGCAAGTCTGTCACTGCTGGGACACTGCACAGGAGCTGAAATGTCACCTGTATAACCCTTCTGTGCTGCTCAATGTGCCCAAGAAAATGGGGGAAATTTATGCAAAGGTACCTTAAACAAGCCACAGCTTAAAATGGGCTCCTCCCGTACCGTTTCCCACCTTGGAAATTCTTGGCTAGGTTCTTCAGTGAAGTTCAATGAACAGTTCCTGGCAAATAGCTGTTCTGCACATTTTGCCAGCCTTTCAGTTTCCTAATTGGCAGTGAGTACAGCCTGATTTTCTCAAATTTCCTCATTTTAGAAGCTCACAAGCAGCTCATTGCCAATTAAAGTTCAAGCTCTGTTGATTAATGTTTTAGTAACACTCATCCAATCAGTAAATGTGGCATGCCACATGACCTTGTAGAGTTTTTTCTGTTGCAAATACCCAGATTTACATCAATTCCTGAACGTTTTCTGTCAAAATTAACTGTATCTCTACAGAGTCACTCAGCTACTTAATATAAAAGGGGAAGAACAAGAACAGCTATTAAAAAATACATAAATAAGAAATAGCTGTTTGCTTAAAGATCCAAGCTATTTGTGCTGTTTGCCTTGATATTTTAAATATAAAGATATTTGCAAGGAAGTGGAGAGCAGCACACCTCCCATAACATGGCAAGTTAAAGGGACAGTCAAAAAGCCAGTGGGCGGAAGGAGAAGTTGTACACTGGTGTGATTTCACCCACAGCCATCTCCGGAGTGCAGAAACCTGAGTCAGGCTATCTCTGCTCAGAGGAGTCTCTTCTCATGATGGTTGCCTGTAATGAAATCAAAAAAAAAGGCAGGACTTTCTAGAAAGACAAGTGCCGGTAGCCAAATAGTTGGATCCTTGAGAAGCAAAGGCAAGAGTTTTCGTTTGCCTCAGAGCATACAAGCCTCCCATCCCCTTGCAGTGGTAGCTCCTAAGACTACGCGATCGTTTCCGCCACCACTGGGATCAAGGGCGCTATTACGGGAGAGGATTTTGGCACAAGCAATCCCACATGTTTAGTTGTTGTTAGGATGGATGTCCATAGCAATTAGCTTACAACTGTCCCTGTGCACTGTTACAGAGGGTAGAAAATTGTACAGGGAAACAACAGTGAGACAAGGCATCCTCTCAGTGTGCTGGCCAAGGAGCTGCTTTGAAGACAATAGGATACTTCTACTATTAGTACTGATGAGGAGGGAGAGTTATAGCTCAGAAGCAGCCACCCTCATTTCAGCTATTAGACCTTAATTTCTAGCTCCCCTCTGCCTGGCGTACAAAAGTTTATTACAGCACCTGTTTGCAGAGTGAGCAGCACTGAATCCCTTCTCCATTTTAACGTGATGGGAATTTTCTGTGCAAAGAACCTTGCAATGAGAAGGATCAGCTTAAAGTCTGGCCTAATCCTACTTGGATTCAGACTGTTAAGAAGGGGAGGGGTGCGTTTCATTCTCCAACATTCTTGGCTAAATGCCTGCTAAATCCCTGTTTGCCTTTCCAGATCCATTTAGCAGGTCAAGCACCTTCAGCGGCCTTGGGAACTTAGGCAGCAATGCCTTTGGAGGATTAGGCAGTCATGCTCTGAGTAAGTACTGGCTGGGTTACTGCAGACAAACATCCCTTCCAGAAAAGCCACATGCTAATATTTACAGCAGCTGGTGGTAGTTTTTAAAGAAGTTTAATTCCTAACCTCCATTCTCCTATCTGAAAACACTGCACCTAAGATTTCCAGGTCTCTGCGGTGGGAGCTTTTTGCATGTCCCAGACATCACTAGCTGTGCTCTGTGTCTCCTCATGGCTGAAGGTTGGTACCTTGTGTGCTCATAGAGGTGCTAGAGCTGCAAAACCTCGCTGAGCTCTGGGACCCTGCGGGCACCTAAAGTAACACCCTTCAGCGGCGAAGATGCATAGTGGAACAGCTATTGATACTTCTAATTCAGCGTGTAGACCTCCTCTGCAACCGTTGTCTGAAGTTGAAATTACCTATCTAAAATGATTTTCCTTAAAAACATGTTAACTGTAGGCAAGGCATGCTTGCGAGCCACATATAAGATGCTTTGGCATCTCATGGTGCAACAGGAGTCAGCTGAAGATTGGTGGAGGAAAACCAAGGGATGGATAAAAATCAAGTAACTGTTCTGAAAAGGCTACAGCCAAGCTCTATGTTTATACACACAGACACACACACACACCACCAAATAGTCTGGTTTCTTAAACAAAAAAGTCCCTGAATCCTCAGCTGCAGGCAGCTGATTGCCTGTAACGACCCGTGAATTAAAGTTTTTGCTAGTGAGAGCAGTTGAGGAAAAATACTACTTTTGTGCTGGAACCCTTGCTGGGGTGGGGGGAGAAAAGGAATTGGGCGGTTTTGGTAATCTCTGAGTTATTCAGATGTACAGTTAAAGCTTCCCCCACCAATAGCCTTAAAAGAGCGGGTAGATCTTACACTCAGTGTTGGAGGTATCTGTGTCCGCCTGCTAGTAGCTCCCCCTCACCACACTGAAAAGTCTTGAAAAGACAATTCTGGATATGATTAGCGTTGTGAAAAAAAGGTATATGTAATTATTGGGTTTGAATTATTTTTAACTCTTCCTCCCCCTGCCATTATTCTAGCTCATAACAACATCTTTACTCACAAAGATGGCCCGAACCTGCAGAATTTCAGTAATCCCCATGAGCCATGGAATAGACTCCATCGGACCCCACCATCCTTCCCAACACCTCCACAGTGGCCCAAGCCCACCGACTCTGAGCGAAGCTCCTCAGTGACAAACCATGACAGAGACAGAGAGCGGGAGCGAGAGCCCGAGAAGAGGGATCTTTCTCTGAGTAAAGACGACAGAGATAAAGAGAGGTAAGCAGCGTGTACCTTTGAGCACTTTCTTCTGAGTCTGTTTTTCCTCTGTATTTTTTCTAATTTTTCCAATCGTAAAATAATCTTCAGAGCAAAACGTTGCTTGTCTTTGAAGCAGCTGGTAGGCTTCTCCCTCAGATGAGCACAAATAGTAGCCACACAAAAAAAAACCGCACCTCTTTGCCTTTTAGGATTTGTCCTCTGTGGAAGTATGGTGAGCCGGTTCCTGGTAGTAGGTTAATAAAAAGCACCAGGCTGAGGAAATGAGTGTGAGTCTGTGTTTTCAGGGCATACTTGGCTGTTTTCATCGCAGCTGTGTGTTCTGAAATCATGGAGGTAGCATTGTGATGGGTCCTTTGGAGACAGTCATAGTTCTCATTAATGTACAGATATGCTGATGAATTCAAATGTTAGCTGGACATTAACGAGATAAAAATGCAAATGCCTGTATCTGGAGCAATGTGCATGAATCCATTAGCAAAACTGATTTAAAAAAATCGCGTTGTAGACAAACCCTTATTAAAGATGACAGGACTGTATCACCTGGGCTGTAGATACTTAATTAGCTTCCAGTTGTGTGATTTTGAAGCTGTAAAGCCCTTTCTATTTCAGAGGCCGGTTGGCTCCAGCAAGCTGCTTCTTTGTGCGCAATAACAGCGAGCAAATCTTAGATGTGTGTGTTTGGCTAGTGGCAGGGGGTTTGTAGTTTATCTGGAGTGCTTTTAATAAGATCTTCAAGCAGTGCCTGTGAACAAGATTATGTGCAAGCAATAGGCTGAAAATCATCTTACTTTAAATATTAAATTGTCTGACACCCTTGCACAGATAGTCACTCATCTAGGAAGCTCCCTTCTTGGCTTTATTGTAATTCATTTGCAAACCAAGGTTACTTTACTCTCAAGAGTGTTCTCACCAGGGTTAACATCTCTATTACATTTCTATTAATTCAGCTTAAGCTGTCCCCAGCATCCCTGTTCGGACATGGCTTTAATAAACCACATCCTTGACCAGCCATCAGGACTACCGCAGAGGAAGAAATCTGGGTTAGCAAATGTAATAATAGGAGATAAATACTTCACTGGACTCCCCAAAACACCTCCAGCTTTCATCACTCAGGTCTTACAGCTCTCAAAAGCAAACCCATCATAAAACTTAGGCATCAGAGAGCCTCTCAGCTGCATAATGCAGTCCTCTCAGTCACACCGTCATACTTTGCATTTAAAGTGTCTCTTATGCAGGGCAAAGTGCTTTTAAAAGGTGAGCATTATTTATTCCCCTCGTAAAGAAGTGGGAGTAACTGTGACTAATTGGCTTGCTCAGAGCTAGAGGCGCCGTTAGAAATGTAAACCCTCGTGCCTCTCTTTTTCTAAACCACGGGCATTGTCATCAAACCCCTTGTTCATCATAGCAGGTCCTCTTGAAGCAGAGGTCGATCACTCAGTTTCATGGCCTGTTCGAGGATGTTTTTAGCTTAGGCACTTAGCTTGCCTGCCAAAACTGCCAACAACAAAACAACCCTGCAGCTCCACAGGAAAATAAGCATCATGTTATGGCTGTGGTGAAGGACTCGTGTGTATTTTCTGTCGCCTTCTCTTTTGTGCATCTCTATCCGTGCTTTAAGAAAGGAACCTGAGTTAAGAGTGTTACAGCCAGGAAGATCATTGTCTGACAGCAAGATGTGTGTGTAAGCACACAATAAACATCTTTTTTAAAAAAATAAGCCGTCTAGAATTCTTCTTTCAATCTCGGTGAAGTGGTTTTTCTCTTAGGGTGAATATACTGTTCTTTCAAATGCATCCCCGATTTAGTCCCCAGATTTGTGGACATTTAACAATGTGTAGTACATAAGGGCAAATGGTGCCTCTCTTTTAGCGTAGCATCACAGCTATAGCTGGTGCCAGCAGAGCTTTTCAAATAATTTTTGAGCAGTCTCGAATTCATGACTAGACAGAGCACTGTGTGTGTCCAGCATGGGGTGTATGGTTGTTCACACAAAACCAAGGACGTATGTTCTCTCTTTTTACAGAGACCTCATGGATAAAAACAGACATTCGAACAGATCCTCACCGGCATCGGCCCCAGTGACACATCAGATAAGCAATCTCATCCGCAGCAACAGCCAGACCTCCAGTGATCCCATCAGGCAGGTCAGCCTCGGCGAAAGGGAAAGGTCCAAAGAAGCCGAGCGAGAGCACCCTGACCGGCTGAGAGAGCCACCCATAGCAGAACACAAGATTAAAGAGAGCCGTTCCCCGGTGAAGGAAACTCCAAGCCATGATAAGAGACCCTCTGAGGACAACACAAAGCCAGTAATCCAGTCTGTATCCCCGTACAGCAAACCTGCACTAAGTGAGAGCTTGAAGCTTACCAATCTAATGAGCAAGGACATAGAGAGAAAGACAGAGCTTCCCAGCGACCTCCAGAAGATTAAGAACGACATCAAAGTCAAAGAGGAGAGGAAGGAAGACAGCGACGTGCTGGTGGTAGGGTCTGAGCCTTCGCAGCACTCCCGATCCGTGGAGCATCCCCCGCCACCTACTTTGCATGGATTATCATTGCCTCACTCGATGGCTGCCTCTATGCCCATCTCCATGGGCAGCGTGCACCAGATGAGCAACATGAATGTTCTGGACCGCAGCAGAATGATGACCCCGCTCATAGGCATGAACCCCTTGTCAGGAAGAGAGAGGCTGCCGCATCCCGGATTTTCCTGGGACCCCATGAGGGACCCGTTGCGAGATGCCTACCGGAGCTTAGACCTGCACCGTCGAATGGACTTCCAGCTCCGGACGGATCCTATCCATAGGTTCCCCACCACCTCTGGATTTTACGACCACGAGCGTTCCTACAGAGACCGGGAGCCCCACGACTATAACCACGAAAACCTTCTGGAAGCCCGCCGAGAGCAGGAGCGGTTGCGGCAAGTGGAGGAAAGAGAGCGCTTGCACTTACGGGAAGAACTTGAGCGTGCCAGGATGCACCACTTGCACTCGTCCCCCATCGAAAGCCACCTGGCACACGTGCCATCCTTCATGCCTCACCTAAGCGGGATGCATTACCCCAGACTGAGTCCCTCCACTGCCATGCACAACGGGATTTTAAACAGGAACCCGCCGACGGCCGCGCTGAGCGCCCCACCGCCTCTGGTCCCAGCCAGCAGCACCAGACCTGCCTCCCCTCGCAGGACTACTCCGCTCACAAACTCAGAGTCCAGGGACTATTCCCCCTCTAGGAACCCCAAAGAAGTAGAGGCACGATAGTCCCCGACATTGAATTTTAAACTCGCCTGTACATAAAACAAACAAACAGACAAACAAAAAAAGGAAAAACAAACAAAAAAGAAGAAAATAAAAACCCCACCACAACAACAACAAAAAAAAAAAACAAACAGAAAACAAACCTTTTACAAAATGCACTGCTGTAAACTTTTTTTTTTTTAATGTAAAATTTGTAGAAGTTAAGCACATTTCCATAAATAACGGGGTCGGGGATGCAGACTTTCCAACAAGAAGGTTGCTGAGAATGGGAATTTAATATATAGGTATTGATTTTTGCTTTTGTTTTTTGTTTCTGTGCTTAAAAAAAAAATGAGTTAAAACTATCAAGTTTGTACATTTTTTCCCAAATGTGAGAAACATTTTTAATGGATTTGTATTTTTTTTAATTTTGTGCTCTTTATTCACTTAAAAAAGAAGAAATTTTGCTTTTGTTTTTAGTTAAATTTGCATTTTAAAGGCCTCAGATCCTTAAGAAAAAAATACCCAGGGTTTCTTAAAAGTATTATTTATGGAAATACTGTAGTTTTACAGTCCACTGTGAGGTTCCCTTCTGAGGCCAATTGATCATTTACCTTGGTACTTTGGAACCGAAGTTACAGATATATATTAAAATATTAATAATAATAATAATGTACAAAACTGTTTGTTTTTTGCCTTATTATATTATGCAGAAATTTAAGAGGAATTTTTTTTGACTTCTTGTTTTAAACAAAAAAAGAAAAACAAAGAAAACAAACTGTAAATATTCTGTTAATATAAATGTACACCAATATTAAATTCTTAACATAGGTAGACTTTATAAAAATGGTTTCTAGAACCACTCTGGTTATTTGTTAACATGGTTACAACTCATACTCTTGTCACAGTCAGAAATTCACACTCAGAAAGCTAAGTACGGCATATATACTTCAACTATGCAAGAACTCGGAGGCAGGTCTTAGTGGATGTTGGGGGGAGGAAGGTTAAAAAAAAAAAATAACCCAAAAACAACCAACTCGCGACTATGGAGACAGAATGGAAATGGCTTGTGAACGGGAAGAAGGATGCTTGTGTTTAACAAAAAAAAAAAATAAATATAAAGAGAGACTGAATTTTTTTGTACAAACACAAGGGACAGTTCGTCGAGGAAAGAGAGAGACACACACGCTTCTGGAAGGGAATTTTGGTTTCCTACTTTCAAGCTGGCAAAAGCAGATGGAACTGGCACAGTACCATGCGGCAGACCCTTTCCTTATTTTTTTTTCCCTTTTTTTTCTCTTTTTTTTGTGTTGTGGGCAGGATCGCTGGCAAGCAAGGACAATTTTCCGTGGACCCCTTGTGCTAATTGTGCAGTGTTCTTATTGGAATCTGTATACAAGACAAAGTAGAATTTTAGGAGTGCAAAAAAAAAAAGTCTAATGGTTGATTAAAAAAAAAAAAAAGAAATTCTGATATATTATCTATAGTACATGAAGACCATAAGCAAATGTTTGTTTCAGTGTGGTTCTGCCTTGAACTGCTTTTTGGCATGATTTATTTTTTATTTCCGATTTTACTTTTCATCCATATGTAAATTTTGCCATGTTTTACTTGCTGTACCATCCCCCCTCCCTTATTTTATTTTTCAGTGTCCATGTTTTATATATCCTGGGCTTTTTCTCTCTAGTTAATTCAGCCA